CCTAGCCCTCCCCTCCCCTCCCCCACCTGAGGCCCGTCCATCGACTTTTTGGAGAGGACGTTGCGCAGCGCCTGTCGGGCGGAGGAGGGCCGCGTCGCGGACATGCCGGGCGGGCGCCTCCTCGGCAAAGTGTCGCGCGGCGCCAGCGCGACGTCCGACGCGGCCGAGGCGAGGAAGGCGGCCCACACGAAGCTCAGCTCCTGCGCCGACGCGAGGGCGACGCCTCCCACGATCGGGAGCAGCGAGAGCCACACGCGGCGCGACGAGCCTTGCCGGAGGAGCAGGCCGGAGAGCAAGCACGCCCACACTGGCCCCGCCGACTTGACGACCTGTCGAGGTGCGAGGGGAGGGCTGGGACGAGCGGCCGCACACCTTGGCCCCTCGGCCCGCCAGCCTCGCGCAGCCTGCACGAACGAGACGGAGCCCACCGCGGTGGCGAACACGCCGGCGAGATGGCCGACGGCGTGGAAGAGCCTGCTCCGTCACAAGACGTCTGTGAACCGAGCCTCGTGTGACACAGCCAGCGCGAGCGGGTGGCGCCCGATTGGCAGCAGTGTGCGCAGCGCCGCCGACGAGACGCGGGGAGGCGCGCGTGCGCCGCTCAGCCAGAAGAAGCTCGCGACGAGGCCGCCTACTGGGAAAGAGGCGTGGTGAAGCGGCCTGCGCCCGGTGTGGAGAGGCGGCGCCGTCGAGAGAGCTGCCGACGACGAGCTGAGCGGTGGCGATGCTCAGAGGCAGCGCGAGAGCGATGTGCGCCTGCTTGTTCTTGACCGAGTAGACGACCGAGAGCAGATACCAGAGCGCAAAGTAGACGGCGACGCGCGCCCGGTCCCAGGCGGCAGCCGGGCCGAGACTCACTGCCACCTTCTCGTTGACGAGGCCATAGACCTCGCTGGTCGAATCGGCGGCGTCGCGCAGGAAGCGAGCGGCGGAGAGGTCGCCGCGAGCAAGCTCGGCGAGGTGCCGTCGCCGGAGAGGCGTCACATCGCGCACAATGGTGGGTGCCGTCGCCAGCGTCGAGAGAGGCTGAGGCAGCCGGCGATGCGGCGACTGTGGCGACAGCGGCGGCGATGGCGTGACTCGCCAGGCTGCTGAAGCGACCAGCAGCGCGGCGAGGGCTGGCATCGCAGTAGTTGGTCTGGGTGTTTGCCGATGGGGTTCGAGGTCGGCGTGGGCAAAAGAATTTGGCGCTTGAAAGTGTCCCTCCCCACCTGTCCCCCTGATCGTCCTTCCAAAATCCTGCTCGTGCAGGGTGGGGACCTTGTCCTCGTCCCATCCCTCGTTTGGCGTGCCTGTTTTCTTTCTTTTTTTCTCTCCCACCCGGGGCGGGGCGCGCGCGGCGGGTGTGGCGGGTTGGCCTGTCCGAGGGTTTCCTCTCGCACCCTACCTGGTTTCCTTTCCGTGTTTCCTGCTCGTTTCCCTACAACACCCTCTAGGTTCCTCGGGAAACCCCGGGGAAACTCCGTGGAATTCGTCATTTTGGGGGGGCTCTGAGCCGTGTCTGAGGCTGTTTTGGGGCCAAAATCGGCAAAATACCGGGTATTTTGCGGGTATGTATGTAACTGTAGAGACGATTTAGGTTTGGGGCAGCGCGAGTGGGAGAACTTTTCGGCGATCGTGGAGGTCGTGGAGGTCGTTGAGTGGCGAGTCACGCTCGTGCGGACAGCATCGATGCCGTCGCCGGACGCGGCGGCGAGGCACACGGGCGCCGGCGTGGCGCGTCGGCAGGCCCACCACGAGCGGATGCGCGACGAGCGCGCTCGGGAAGCGGCCGCGGGCGAGGCGGAGCTTCCGCCGGAGGACGACGCGGTCGAGATGGCGAGCGCCGTCCACGTGCTGGACAGCGTGGGGGAGGTGGGCCCGAACTACACCCTGCTGCGCAGCAAGGAGACGAAGGCGAAGCGGCGGAAGCAAAAAATACCTGGAAAACCCCGGTATACCTGGAAAATACCTGGGTATCGTGCCGATTTCCTCAATTTTGCCCCAGATTTTGCCCCAGACCAGCTCTCAGACTCAGGGAAACTCGCGAGTTTCCCGAGGGAAACTCGAGAGAAACAGAATGGAGCACCAAACACCCTCTGGTTTCCCTGGAAACTTCCGGAAACGCAAAGTGCTGGGGACCCTCTGGTTTCCCTCTGGGTTGCCGGAAACCCTCGGACAGGCCAAGTGGCGGGTGTGTGCGGGACGGATGCCTGTCCCTGTGGGCCCGAGAGCGAGGTGTCATGTGTGTGTCGCGTTGCGTTTTTTTGTTTTCCTTGCGTTCAACACACGTGACACGACATCGAAGGCTAAAAAGAAATATAACTTTGGGGGTGACGTTTCAGAGCACCACAGGCATTGGTATTGCTAAGAACAAGCAGCTACTGAGACCGCTCGATTGCGTGCCGCAACCCACGCTCCGCGTAATCGAGGCGGTTCGCCGTCGAGCGCGCGGTCATCACTGCCGGGCGAATAAACAGAACCCCGTCGTCGATCGGATCGACGGGGTTGAGGAGCGCCGCGGCGTGCACGGCCAGCGCGTTTGGCGCTTCTGGTGCCGTTTTCCCAGCTGCTCCAGTAGCTGCTCGACACCCGGACCGGCGAGGCTGACAAACTCGTCGCAAAGCGCTCTCACGTCTCTGGCGAGCCGCGCCAGCCGCTCTGGACTGATCTCGAGGCCGGCGTTCGAACCATGTTCGTAGGCCTTGGCTAGCGAATAGGAGTCGTCCACACTCAGCAAGCTATCCTGCTCACTCAGGCGGCCGAGCCATGTGACGCTGCCGGTACGCCCATTCCACTTAGAGCCGCCATCGTCGCTGTAGTCGTCATCGATCTGGGCCAAGCGATCGCTGGCCGTCAGGACGACGCTGCCGCTCTCGTCTAGCGATGCCACAGCCTCGCAGCCGACCCAGTGGAGAGAGAGCTAGTTGCGCCCCACGCACACGAGCGGCTCTTTGCTTCCCGCCACGAGCGCAGCGAAGGATGGCGGAGCGTCGGCGCAGCGCAGCAACTGACCCGGGAGCAGAGTGTCGAGCACAAGCAGCCTTCAGCTGGTGCCAAGACTTTTACGGGAGCACTGCAACAACAACCAAACGCGGGGGTCTATTGCAACACATATGGAGAGCCTCCTGCGTGACCTCGGGGACGCGCGCGACGCCTGCAACAAGCTGCCTTTTGACGATGCGCTGCGCGACAAGATAGCTACCGAACTGGATCGCATCGAGGCTGCTCCGCCTCTCGAGCGCATGTTGGTGACGAAGCCGCCGATCAAGGGGTGGGCGACATTGGTCAGCCGGCAGAAGGATCCGTCCATCAAGACGCGTCGTCAGGCTGCGCTCACCGCCATGCTGCGCGTCGTCGACCGCCTCTCCGCTCGGGGGCCAAGCCAAGGCGCTGCGTGCCCGAGTAGCCTTACCGTAGGAACCTTTCATGCTCCAAGGTGACGCAGCCAGCCCCATCCGCCCCCCTTGCTCAGACTCTTCCCGCTTGATTGAAGAAAGCAGAGGGGTGAGGAACCACCCCGACCCAGTCAATGGCGCGTCGGGGCCAGCGCCTTCAAATGCGCCCCAACCCTCCACAGCTGCCGCCTCATCCTGCGCTGCCACCGGTGCGCGCCGGCTTGAGGCTCTCCATCCCGGACGGCAAGCGCTACGTGGAGCCCATCGAGCTCGTCCTCAAGAAGGCAGGCATCACCTCGTCCTTCGTCACCTTCGTCGAAGATGGCATGGGCCAGATCCTCGTCAGCGATTCCGACGCCGCGACGACGATTTCGAAGCTCGCCACCGTTGGCATCTCCGCCACGGTGATGGAGCGCTGAGGCGTCGGTCGCGCCTCGCCGGCCCGACCCGAGGCAACCAGGCTGGCTGCCGCGAGAGGCGGGTGAGGCTGTGTGGTGTGTGTCTCATGTGGATGGGCTCGGCGGCGGTGTTGGAGGGTGCGCGTGCGAATGAGGCGTCCGCGGGTGAGGCGTCCGGCCGCTAGTGTGCGCACCCTCGAGCCGTCACGACCCCGACCGTCAGCTTCTCTGCTTGAATATGTATGGCTAGCGTGCTTCCACTGCGCGCCGCGCCTGCGCTCCCCACCCTTTTGCGCAGCAACACCTTAAACTTTTCAGGCCCTCCAAATTCGGGTCGGAGCGTAGCGGAGTGGGCCCCGAGTTTGAAAAGGGCGACGGACGCTTGCGTCCTAGCCTCCAACAACGCCTCCCCGGCGCAGAGGGGCCCCCGGAGGGATGCTCAACCGCTCCACGCCACGCCGCTTGCGGCGGTCCTCTTCCCAGCTCCGCTGAGGGTCCGTGCGTTATTTTTCGCGAAATAAAAAGAACTTCCGCGGCGCTAACACGTTGCATATTCGGGCCAACCTTGCGCTTGCAAGGTTGCGTCGCCTCCCTCGTCGCTCGGTCGATGCCGGCCCGCGAGGTGAGTCAGAGGCTGCTGCAGTCCGGACCGCGCTCGGACGCGCCGGAGTCGGCTACCTCGTCCTCCATCTCGTGCTCAAGTACGTCGGCTACCTCGTCCTCCATCTCGTGCTCAAGTACGCTATTGCCGTCGCCTGACAAGCCATTGGCGGAGCTCAAGCTGCAGGCCGATGACGATGGCGGGACGCTGGCGGAGCTACAGACGTTGCGCTTGCAGATGGCAGAGCTCCTGCGACGGCTGCCACCGCCTCCTTCTTATTCTCCGCATATAATCGACGGCTCGCCGCCAGCGCTTGCCTCTGGCATGCGGCGGCGGCGCGGCCTCCCCACGAGGCCTGTGCCCGCGCAGCCCGCCGCCGCACCACCGAGCAAGCCGCACACGCCTTCGGCTCAAACTTCCGTCGACAAGCCTGCAGCCGCGTACCCGTCAGCAGAGTTCCTCCGCAGTGCAAAAGAGGCAGGCAGGCGGGCAGGAGGTGACTTGCAGCCGCGGTCGTATCCGTCGTCGGCGGCGCCGGCCCACCCGACGGCGCCGCCGGCTCGCACGCGCGGGCCGGCGAAAGCGCACGCGCGAGCGCTGCGAGACCACCGCCTCCACCAAGGCCACTCCTCGGCCGGCGGCGAGGGCGGCGAGGGCTGCTGCGAGGGAGTGTACTCCAACCCGTGCGAGTACCTCGGCCCGTGGGCGCTCGTCGCCAAATTTTCCGCTTGCTTCACGCAGTGCTGCATCGACGCCGTGTGGATCGACGTCATCTGGCGCCACACTCCTTTCCCACGCCCCTTGCCCCCCTCTTCTCTCTCCCGTCTCCGCCCTCGCCGTCTCTGCGCCCCGTGCTTCGTCGAGACGCGATCCCAGCCGCACCCTGACACAGGCTCATCGCCCTCGGCCTCTGCAACGTGTGCTGGTTTGGCATCTTCAGCGTCGGAGACGCGCGCCGCCGTCCTCTCTCCGCCGCCCCTCTCCCCACTGCCCTCTCTCACCCCTGCCACCGGAGCCAGAACTCAAGGTGTGCCGTGACTTCACTCTCTCTCTCTCTCTCCCCCCCCCCCCCCTCACACTCCCCTCACGCCCCCCCTCCCCTGTCCCTCTAGGCGTGGAACTTCCGCCGGCACGTGCCCGGCGACCCGTATTGGTACACAGTCGAGGTGTACAACGAGTATCGGCCAGAGCTCTCCGTCGAGAAGATCCAGGCGACACACTCCACACGCCACACGACAACCCGCCCCTCTCCTCACCGCCTCTCGCTCTACATGCCCCTCTCCACACACTCTCAACCCCCCCCCCCCACACACACACACACACACCGTTCTCCGCCGCCGCAGGAGCGAGTCGCGTCCGGCACAGACTTCCCGCTCGGGCGACGCCGCATGCAGCAGCAGCAGCAGCAGCAGCAGCAGCCTGCTCCATCCTACTTTGACGTGCCCGAGGAGTGGCCGCCGCCGCGAGAGGAGCAGCAGCGGCAGCACCAGCAGACTGGCGCCGAGCCCCGCCCGCCTCTCATCCCGTCGGAGGACGTTCCTTCGTACTTCCCCGACCCGCAGCCGTCCCTCCCCGCCGAGGGCGCCGCAGCCTCCTTCGCCTTCGCAGACCGGCACGCGGCGGCCGCCCCGCCGGAGCACCGCATGTTCGACCCCTCCGCCCCCGCCTTCATCCCCCACGAAGACGTGGCCGCCTACTTCCCGGAGCCGCAGCGGCTGATCCACGCGGAGGGCGCGCACCCGACGCAGCGGCCGCCCGAGCCGTCCGCCGCCGCCGGCCGCCGCTTGGGCGAAGAGGAGTCGGAGGACGAGGGGGGCGGTGGCGGCAGCTACTCCTACTCGTACGACCCCTCTCCCGAGCCGGAGCCGTGGCTCGAGCCCTCCCCGTCGCCTGCACCCGACAGCTGCAACGAGCCAGACCTGCCGAACCCTATTGACATCCTCGCCGCCGCGCTCGCCTCGGCCGGCTCGGGCGCCGTCGCCGTCTACCGCGTGGCGGTCCTCTTCACGTACACGTGCGGGCGTCTAGCACTGACTAGACCTGCAGCCTAGACCGTGGCGCTGAGGCGCTGCCAGACCGGAGAGCACCTAGAGCACCTCCCCTGGCGCGCTTGCTTCAGCGTCTCACCCCTGCCCTTGCCCGCCGCCGCCACGCCCCAGGGGCATGTTGTCCATGGTCTCCGGAGAGTGGAACGTGTCCATCATCTCCGCACTCGCCGTCTACCTCATCTGCATCCTCTTTTGGGCGCGACCCCCCCCCCCCCCCAAAGCGCCCTCTTGGCCCGCGCACACTTCGCCACCGCCGCGAGCAGGCGAACCTCTTCCTGCTGTGCTGGACGATCAACCCGTACCACGCAACCACGCCCTCCCTCGCCCAAGAGAACATGATCGACCTCTACGGCTGCGAGGAGCCGGGGCCAATCTACCAGATCATTCTGATCGGCTACTTCCAGGCACCACGCCGCAGCACAGGGGAGGCCGCCTTCGCGGCGTCCCGAGGCAACCTTACTCCGCGCCTCAACCGTAGGCGGTGTACGACTCGCTCCTCGTCGGCACGGGGCTTGGCTTCGCCGAGCGCCTGCCGATCACCTGGGAGGCCGCCATCGTCGCCTTCCTCGAGGTCCTTCTCCTCACCTTCCTCGGCAGCAACCTCATCCTCGGCTCCATGGCCATGTCCGCCTTCTCCAAGGCCAACGAGGTGGCGATCCAAGCCGCCACCGAGTCGTACGAGGCGGCGGTCGGGAACGCCAATAACGTGGCCGATCTGGTGCCGACACCGACCTGCTACGAGACGGAGAGCGGCGGCGGCGCAGAGCCGACTTCGCAGGAGCCGACTTCGCAAGCCGCGTGGCTGGCGGTGCAGGAGAGGCGGGTGTATCAGGGCAAAGGCCTGAGACGTTTAGTCGCGAGGGGAGGAGGCAGAGAGGTGGAGCATCTCGTGTAGAACTTCCCTGTGTGCAAGCGAGCTCGATTGAGAGATGCTTGTTTCTTGTCGGTACTGTTGTACGGTTGGGGATTTCGAGGGATCTCGTGTGTTTTTGAGATGTCTGTGTGTGCTGCGGTGTACGGTCTCAGAGTTTGCCCGTTTTATTTATTTATTTATTGCGGTGTACGGTAAAGTACAAGGTGGCACAGCCAGAGAGGTTTCGTGTATACACAGCCAGGTGCGTGTGTGAGGGAGTACGTGTGTACGTCTCCCCGTTACGTGTGTATCCTGAGTTCGATATTCGTCGATGTAGTGAAATTCGCGGTAGCTGCTAGCTCAAGCAATCCCAATCGTAACCTACACACTACACAAATCATCGGTTTGATGTGTTAGCATCACCCCATCAGGAGCCCTTCACTGCTCAGCCCTCAACACGTCACAGTGGATACCGTGCAGTGGCCAGTGCGGTGTGCGTCCACACGGGCTCTTTCATCGCTGCCTAGGCGGCTAGCCGCGCGCTGCCTCGTGCCTTCGACGCGGCCGCTTCGGCCAGAGATGCCAGCGACCTCTTTTGGAACTCGAAGTTGGCCGCGAGCGAGGCGAGGGACGGCACAGTGACCGAGGGGTAGATCGTGAGGGGCGCGGCCGCACCGCTCCCCGCAGAGTGACACTCGGGGCAGGCGCCGCCCGCGTCGGCGAGGCACTGGGCACACCATGAGTGGCCGCACGGTACGCAGGACGTTGGTTCGCGCAGGATGTTCAGGCAAGCCATGCAGGTGAGACATGCCTCCATCGCCTCCTCCGCCTTGAGCGCCTGCCCGAGCGCCGTCGCCAGCTGCGCCTCACGCGCTTCGAGACCCGCGTTGCGAGCCTGTAGATCAGAGGCCGCTGCCACAGCCTCTGCCTCGGCACGCTCCCGCTGCGCAAGCATCTGCGAGCGGAGCTCGGACAGCTCACCGGACAGCTTCTCGCTCTGAACTTTGGCAGCCTCTGCCATCCCTCGCTCACGCCGCAGCTCGGTCTCCGCAGCACCCAGCCGCCGCTCTAGCGCTGCCACAGCCACCACTCTCGCCTCCTCCGCCTTCGAGCGCCGGTCTGTCGCCTCGGCGTTGGCTCGTTCGAGCGCGTCCTTCGAGTCACGCAATCTAGCCGCCTCTTGTCGGGCCATCTGCGCCTCCTGCTGGGCTGTCTCGGCCAGTCGCTCTGCCGCGGCCTTGTCCTTGCGCAACTCCGCAATCTCCTCCGCTGCAAGCGCGCCAGCGCGCGCCGCCGCAGCCCCCGCCGCTTCTACGGCTGCCGCGGCGCGCTCACGCTCGCGTGATGCCTCCCGCTTGGCGTTTGCGGCCTCCTCAGCCGCCACCATCCGCACGGCCTCCGCCTCGTGAGCCGCCGCGTTTTGCCCTTCTGCAACCCGCGCTAAAGCACGCTCTGCCTGGTCGCACTCCTGTCGTAGCTCATCCTTCAGCTGTTCAATCTCATCCTGCAGCTGTGCAATCTCCTTTGCAGCAACCTTTCCCGCCTGCGCTGCGGCAGCCTCGCTGGCTCTAGCCCTTCCCTCAAGCCCGCTAATCGCGTCAGTCATTCTCGAGAACTCGGCCTGGCTGGCCTCTCGCGCCGCCGCTTCCGCCTGGCACAGCCTCCTCTCGAGCTCTGAGCACCGGCCGGACAGTGCTGCCACCTCTTTAGCCGCGAGAGACCCTGCCTGCCTCGCCGCGGCTGTCGCCGCTGCCGAAGATGCCTCGGCACCCTCCACCCGCCTCTCCGCACCTGAAGCCCGCCTCTCCGCGTCTTGTGCACGCCTCTCCGCTCCATCCGCACGGGATTTCTCGCTGACCGCGAGCGCCTTGGCTCCCGCGGCAGCCTCTTCGTGCCGCTCCGCTTCCGACACCCTGGCCGCCAGGTCTGACTCTGAGCGGCGAAATCGCGACTGCATGGCCTCAAGCTGCGAGTCGACCCTCCCCCGCTGCCTCTCACTCGAAGAGAGCTGCTCGCGCACCCTGTCCAGCTCGGCTTGCCTGACGTCGGCCGCCACCTGCAGCTCCTCATTCTTGCGGGTGAGATCCTCCTGCTGTCGCTGCAGCCTCTCGATCAGGACCTTGTCGGCGTCGCTCAGGTCCTGGAGCTTGGTAAACCGAGCAGCGAGACCGATGGAGTCCTCGTTTTGACTTCCGCCGGGCATTTCGCGCCCGTATGGCAAGTGAACGGTCCGCGCGGAGAACGTTACAATCGGTTCAGTCTTTAAAAGAAGCGGGCAACGCGAAGCGCTCTCGAGCTACGGCCTGTGGCCGGCACGTTTCCGGCACGGGGCCCAAGCGTGGTCAGCCTACGTCTCTGGACTGCCTTTTCTTCTAAAGGCTCAACCTAAAGCCGTTAGACTTAGAGCTTAGATGTTAAAGCCGTCCGTAGCTGCGTAGAGAAGGAAACATAAATAAAGGGACCTCTTGAGTCTTGTGTGATGTGTCTGTGCCTTTGCGTTTGTTCCATAACATGAGCGCATCAGATAGAACATTCATTCAGAAATATGTAGAAAAAGCCGGTAGGCGCACATGAAATCATGGAGGATGCGCACCAAAAGTGCATGGAGGATGCGCGCGGGCGACCCAGCAGGCGACGTGCCATCGCACGAGACGAGCGGCGCAGGCGCGGGCTCGCGGCATGGAGAGTATGCATGTGTGGCACGCGCGCGTATCTCCATGCGTCCACACGGACGCGCGCGCGTGGCGAGGGAGCGCGCTAGGTTGTTCGCGCTCAGAGCTGTGGCGCCGGGGGTGCGGTGAGCGTCCGGCCAACCCTCTCAGTTGACCCACCACCAGCGGATGTCCACCCCAGCCTTCTTGAGGTAGTCGCACGCCGGCTGCTTGTAGCTCAGCACCGTCGCGGCGGGCTTGTCGGTGATCTTGCCGTGCTGGTAGTCCGACCAGTCGCTCGAGCCGACGGGTTCCCATCCGGGGTTCCCCGTCTTGATGAAGGCCAGCCACTGGCCCAGCACCTGCTTTCCAAACTCGACGTCGCGAGGAGAGGGCTGGTATGGCTGCTTCGCGGGGGACTTGGCGTCCTCCGTGCCACAGTTGACGGCATACCCGTGTGGGTTGTCCTTTTGATGGCTAGGGGTGAAGGTGAAGGGTGAGAATGAGGTGCGGGGGCGAAGGGGGGGGGGGTCGAGGGCGAGGGCGGGAAGGGGGGGGGGGGGGGCGACGGGCTGGGTGCTGGGCGGCGCGCCGTGAAGAAATTCTCGCCTGACTTGAGCATCTTGCCCGCGCGCCAGGGCATGTCCGCCCCGTCCGGGTTGCTCGCCTGCAGAGCGGCGGAGTAGTCCCACGAATGGAACGGCATGGTCGAGCGGATCTCGGATCTTGCACGAGCCGGCGAAGAGGGCGTTCGAAGGGGGCGTGACGACTCCTCCGCCCAGTCGGACATCGACAAACGAGACGATACGATACGATACGACACGAGACGCAACGCTATACGAGACGAGACGATTTTTTTGCGGTCTATTTTTCTGAAGGTGCCGCAACCGGCTATACCCAGTTGCTCTCAAGGCCGACGAATACCGGTTGGACTTTTGATTTTTTTGTACGGACTTCAAGACAAGCGCTTTTTGGCCGGTGGCCTCCTCGGACACTAGGGGCAAGATTAGAAGGAAAAAGCAAAGCCAAGGGCGGGAGGAGAGGACGGCAAGAAGGAAGGAAGGAAAACAGACAAACTCAAAACGGATGGGGCAGGAGGACAGCTGGACAGGGTCCACACCTGCACGAGCAGGATTTTGGAAGGACGATCAGGGGCACAGGTGGGGCTCTCCTGCTGTGCACCGCGGAATTTTTTTCTCCGCGACGCCGCCCCCGAAAACACGCGACATGTACCGCGCTGCGCCCCGGCTGCTGCGGTCTGCGCTGAGCCGAACGGTGAGCAGTCGCGGCGCTGGTCGCGGTGCTCTGTACGAGGACGTGACGGAGATCATCGGCAACACGCCGTGCGTCAAGCTCTCAGAGAAGCTCTGCCCGCCCGGCACCACAGTGTTTGCAAAATGCGAATTTCTCAATCCGCTGTCGTCGGTAAAGGACCGGCTGGCGCTCGCTGTGATCGAGGAGGCCGAGGCGTCGGGCAAGCTGAAGCCAGGCGACACCGTGATTGAGGCGACGTCGGGCAACACCGGCATTGCTGTGGCGATGGTGTGTGCGCAGCGCGGCTACAAATGCGTGATCTGCATGGCGGAGCAGTTCTCGGTGGAGCGACGCCGACTGATGCGAATGCTCGGCGCCAAGGTGGTGCTGACGCCAAAGGCGGGCAAGGGCTTTGGCATGGTGAAAAAGGCGGAGGAGCTCGCCGAGAAGCACGGCTGGTTCCTGTGCCACCAGTTCGAGACGGAGGTGTTGCTGCCTAGATGCGGAATAGAGATCCTTATATTCACGATTAGCACTTGAGAGGCAAATATTCAGCTGTATTCAACTGTATCGAAGAGTCGCTTACTACTGAAATCCAATGCAGGCGAACTGGAAGTTCCACAACGTGACGACTGGGCCCGAGGTCGAGCGCGCACCGTGTCCATCCCATTTTATGCTGCTGACGCTCGTCCGCCATGCCTGCGCCCTCGCAGATCCTGGCAGACTTTGAGGGCAAGCGGCTCGACTACTGGGTGACGGGCTACGGCACGGGAGGTACCTTCCATGGCGCGGGCAAGGCGATCAAGGCGGCAAGGCCAGATGTCAAAATCGTGCTCGCCGAACCGGAGGACGCCGGGCTGCTTGCCTCGGGCGTGCCAACCGAGCACAAGCCGGACGGCTCACCGAGCGCTTCGCACCCCGCCTTCAGCGCGCACCCGATCCAGGGGTGGACGCCAGATTTCATCCCCAAAGTGCTGCACGACGCTCCCATGGACATGCTGCTGCACGAGCTGGTGCCTGTGCCCGGCGCGGGGGCGATCGCCACCGCCCAGAGTCTCGCCGCCAAGGAGGGGCTCCTCACGGGCATCTCAGGCGGCGGCACGATGTGGGCGGCGCTGGAGACGGCCAAGAAGGCGCCCGAGGGCTCGGTCATCCTCGCCATGCTGCCCGACACGGGCGAGCGATACCTCTCCACGCCGCTCTTCTCCGACATCCCCGCAGACATGAGCGAGGAGGAGCTCGCGCTGGCGGAGTCGACACCCTCCTACCAGCTGCTCCCCGGCAAGGAGCCCGTCCTCGCCGCCGCATGAGTCTAGACAGTTATACCGTGACCTCTGGGTGACCAAAAGAGGATGGGAGGACGGCACGCCGCCACCACATCTGTGCGAGTTCGTTTTTGTTTTGAGCTGTAAAATGACGATGCGCACCGCCAGGGCACCGACGGCAGTCCTTCGCAAGTCCTCGCACACCACAGCCCCACCAATGTCCTTCCTTCTCAAACCTACCAAGCTTCAGGCCGTCATGAGCAGTGCAGCGCGCCGCCACGCATCTGCCTGCGCTGGCGGCTGCGGAACGTCACAGCCGATCGAGTCCTTGCTCGGCCTGGAGCCGGGCACGCCGCCCGATGCTCTCCGTAAGGCCTTCCTCGAGCGAGCAAAGGCGCTGCATCCGGACCTGGGAGGGAGTAACGAGGCGTTTGTCAAGCTGCAGGCCGCGTGGGAAGCGCGCGACAGCCAGTCGTGCTCGTTGTCAGGCTTCAAGGGCGGACCGGTGCTCCGCCGGTCGACGACCGAGGTGCTGCGGTTCGCGATCCGCGTGAGCGACGCGGCGTGGATCATGGCGCAGCAGGAAATCCTCACTCTGGCGGTGCAGCGCGCTGCGGTGGCGAGCAGCACCTCAGCCGCCCGGCCGGACGTGCCTCCTCCGCGTGTGCGCCGGATCAGCGAGAGGTGCGAGAATGTGCTCTCGCTCGAGCTCGAGGCGCACAGCCCGCGGCACCGGGACAGCCTCGCAGACGGGATAGGCCGGTTTTCGGGCCGGCCCTTCCTCGCGCAGCTCCGCGACAGCTTCGCCGCCGCGGGCGGGCCCGAGTCCATCTCTCTCCGGCTTGAGTCGCAAGTGAGGTGGCACACGGCGGCGGGCGGCGCAGCTGCGGTTGTGGACGCAGGGCGGCTGGCCGAGGGAGGGCGCGGAGAGGATTCGGTCGGGCCGCGCGACGCCTGACGCCGGAGCCCGACGCGACAAAGTGGCTGATCGGGCGGACGGCCGAGTTCGGTCCTCCTTCCTCTAGTAAGCTACGTAGACGTCTGAAAGCCCCAAGTAGCTAAAAATGGTTCCTCAACCAGATTTGGTTTCCCCCAAATCTTGTATTGAGAAGTAAATACCGTGATACCGCATACGGGCATGGAGAGAGGAGAGGAGGTTAGCGCACGAAACCAATGTGCCAATACGCAATAGGGCGAGGGAGGCTACTCTGCTCTCTCGCGGCGTGCGGATGTACGTGGGTTCGAGATGCAGGTGTGCTCTGAATGACAAGCTTTTATGATTTTACAAGCGCGCGATCTTTACACGTCGTCATTTTCGGCCAAGCCTCAAGCCTTGAACACGTCGAAGCCACTCCCTTGCGCCTTGGCGCTTGGGCTTCTGGGTTGGCACTGCGCCCGTGGGGATCGCGCTCTCTCGACACTCGAGAGACCTCAGTCCTCACAAATACATATCACCCCGCTCTCGTCTCCACCGTTCATCGCAGAACGTGTAGATGCAAAGCGTTCAACCATCCTCGCTCGACGGCGACGAAGCTCCTCGCTGCAGCTTCGACCTAGCTCATCAGCCCGCCTCGCAAGAGGCGACAGACACGGCGGCTCTCACGCCCGATGTAGCCAATCCGCCCACTGCTCCATCGCAGACGGGGACCCGTACCACGGCTTCCCCGCGCGGTGCTCCTTGGCCAAATCCGGCGCCACCAGCCCCGCACCAGGCACGTCCCCCCACGGGAAGTGCGTCACCCCGTCGAGCACACGCCTGCAGCCGCGGGAAACCTCGCTGCTGGCGCCGGCGAAGTGGGAGCGTGGAGTCTCGGGAAGTGTCTCTCGCGCACGTCTCGGCGCCAGGCAATGACAGCGCGGAGAAGGTTGGCGTGACGCCGTCGCCGTCGAGCTTCGTGCCTACGGGCAGGCGCAGCAAGCTCTGGCCGTCGACCTCGCGCCCCGCCCTCCCCGCCCTCGCGATCCCAAACGCGCCGTCGCCGCCGTCGACGCAAAAGCTGTACGCGTCCCTGGTCAGCCGGCCGCTGCTGCCACCCGGGGTTCCGGTGGCGCCGACGGCGAGGCAGCGCACCGTCGACGGAGGCGGCTCCTGGTTGGCCCACGCGACGCCGCGGAAGGCAGGCCTACGCTGGCGTGTGGCAGCCGTGATATCTCGTGGCCCCCACGCCTCTGGCGGCAGCTGGGGCGGGAGGGCGCCCAGACGAGTCTGCCAGCGGCGCGCCCAGCGTGACGAGGGAGTGGACCAGCTGCGAGCCGTCGTAGGCTCGGCCGCCATACCGCCTGGCTGAGCAGCGGCGCCAGTGTGGGCGGGTGGGAGGGCGCTGGAGGGCGGTACGAGGGCCATGGAAGCGCGCCTTTTGGAGAGGTAAACGCGCGAGATCCACCCGCCGGCAGAGTGGCCAATGAGAGCAACGCGACCGCGTGCGGCCCCCGCCTCGGGGAAGTGTCCACGCGGCTCCACAATCGGGTACTCCTGCACCTCCGCGCTCCCTCCGACCTCCCAGATCCCACCCGGCGTGTGCACAAAGTCGGTCAGGCAGTCTTGCCAGCTGTACTCAAAGCCTGGGACCGCCGCTGGGTCGCCCTCCGCCGCGGCGAGGTGACGCACAGTGTGGTCGATCCTCTCGAGGATAGGACGCATGGAGCGACCTCCGAGGCACGGCAGCCAGTGCCAAGCTGCCATGGGGACGACTGCTGTCCGGATGCCGCGTGCGCTGAGCGAATCGGCCATCTCTCTAAAGTCAGAGGCGCCGGAGAGGAAGCCAGGCACGACGACGGCCGCGTCGAGCCGCGGCAGCGTCACCCCGACCGTCACCGTCATACTTGGATCCGATGAAATTTTAGGATTCCAAGAATTTTACAAGTAAACTCCCAGGCACAACACTGGACGCCCTAGGGTGGGCGACGGCTAGCGCATCACCACCTCTCCTTTTGGGTTTGTTTTCTTTCTTTCTTTCTGGAGACTACGGGTACAGTGCTCGGAGACTGTATGTAGGTATGGAGACTGGTTCTGTTGTCCTCGGTGGTCATTCAGATTTGATTGATTCACAACGCGACCGAGCCGTCATAAAGTATTGCATTGAGGGACGCGCACATCCCTTTGGGTCAAGTTTTGGGACGTAATCCGCTCTAGAATGGCGCTGGCGGTGCCCCTGTGCTGCATGGGGCTCCCTGCCTTGCACGACGCTGACGGCTCGCGCCCCCCGCCGCGGCTAACGCTGCACTCTCCTGGGCCGCCGACTCGCCTACGTGGTCACATCGCGTCGCTCGTCGCCTCTGGTGCCTCCCGTGCTCTGACGTTGGAGCCGTCGATAGAAGAGAGTAGAGACCCCAGACGGAAGGTTAAGATAACGGACGGGGAGCAGCTGTCGGAGGTGGTTGCGGCGATGCAGGAGGCGGGCATCTCGGCATGCTACAAGCCCGCCCGCTACTTTGGGTGGGGAGGGCTGGGCAACACCGTCAACCTGTGGAACGCCCAGGCGCCTGCCGCCGCCGCCCTCGCCACCAGAGCCGTCGCCACCAACGCCCTCGCCGCAACCCAGCCGCAGGGCCCCTCCCGGCTCGGCCCTCCCATCTCCCGCGACCGACCAGACCGCCCCTGCGTGACTTAGTCCCGTGCCTGTGACCCCGGTCCCTGTAGCTCCTGTATGCGATGACGACCAACGGGACGCTCAAGTTCCGGTTCAACCGACTCGACCACCAGACCATTGACCATACCGCCGCCAACTTCAGCAACCTCGTTTACGATCCGGAGCGCGACGGCGACGGTGTCGGATGCATGACCGGCGGCGGGCAGGCGAAAGACACTCCCGAGAAGCTTCACCGAAGAGCCAAATGCACCCTCCTTGGAACCACCCTCAGCAGCATGGGCATCCGCTCCCTTCCGAGACCACCCAACACAGTTTCCCTGCCCCTTTTACTGAGCCTCCTAGCCTCCCGCATTCACAGGGGTGGCGCGCTGCGCCGTCCGTGTGCTTGCGTTGCCCCGCGTCGGTCTCATTCCGCGAGAGCAGCCGCCGGCGAAGATGTGCTTGTGCATGTCCCTGGACGCATCACTGGCATGCACCTAGGTTCCACTGAGTGAGAGCTGTGAGGCGGAACAACTGGTCCTCGACACCAATGCGACGGTGCTGAGGGACGGTGACACACTGCTCTTCGGCTGCAGCAAGGATTTCCCCTCGGGCAACCTTGGCCTCGTGTGCGAGTGCCCTGGCGCCGAGACCTTTGGCGGCGCGCGGCAGGCGCGGGGTGAACTGCTAAGGGGGATCGCGATGGATGGCTTCGAAGCCGGGCGCCGTAGGGAGACTTGCTCTCCCCTCCACGCTGCAGGCACTGGCGTGCTGCAGTGCAAACACCGAGCTCGACTACGACGGCAAGGTGTACGTGGGCGCGGTGGACACCAACTATTTTGGATCAACCTTCCCCTTCACCTTTAACTTCATGGACACGCGTCCGCTTTGGTACGAACGCTACTGGCACAACGCCCGCATCGACGACGCGAAATGGCCACCAGCGCTCGCCCGTTGGGCGGCCGACAGGCGACTCCTGCGCGCTAGAGCGGCTCGTTTGAGAGCCTCGAGGCTCTGAGGCTACATCCTCTGAGATCTAGGCCCGACAGCCGCTCGCCGCTGCCGCTCGTCGTGTCGGTCCACATGCGCAACGGAGACATTGTCGCGCTGGCGGAGGGGTCCGACGGCTCCGGCACCACCAACGCCGTAATCGATAACGAGACGCGGGCCTCGCGGTACGTGCAGGCGGGGGACCCGCCGCGCCACCGCCGCAGGCCCTACCGCCTCGCGAGACCTGTTCCGCTGTGTTAGGCGGGTATGTACCGCCCGCTGCTGCGCGAGGTGGCGGCGCTGCCGACGGGGTGCGCCTCTGTCCGGATCGTGACGGAGGAGGATCAAGACCCGCAGGTCCTGCAGGTGAGGCCGAAAGGCAACGGAGAGGGGAAGGGAGAGGCCGCCAGGAGGGCGCTGAGAGGCGGTGGGGTGGTGGCGGAGAGGCAGGCGCGCCCGAGGCTTGGCCGAGAGGTGGTAGCTTCACGCGCGCTGCGCGCGCCGCCCCTCTCAGGTGGTCAAGGACTTCCACGAAGACGCCGAGGGACGGGGGGAGATCTCGGTGGTGGGCGACTCCACCTGCGACGCTCCATGTGCCTTCCGCGCGCTCACGCACTCCGACGTGCCCCACCCTTCGATACTCCCCTGTGCAAGGTGCACCCACGACGTGAGCGACCCTTGGCTCGGGTGTGTAGGTGCTGATAGCCGGTTTCTCGACCTTCTCCTTCACCGCCGCGATGCTGCTCCCCGACACGAGCATCCTCGCCTACACCTACACTGCGAGGGCGGGCGTCTTCCACTGGCGGAAGAAGTACAGCCACGACTACACTGATGAGCCCGCGACGCTGGCGGCGCAGCTTCGCCCACGTTGCGTGCTATAGTCATATGCGGCGCAGCTTCGCCGCCATGTTCGGCCACTGGAGTAGCTCTGTACAAGCTCGTCGTGGCTTCGTGTTTTCGTACGTTTCTAGACATTCTAGGTGCATCATCTTCTTTTTTGCGCGCCAGTCCCGTGCCCAGTGTTGTACAGGGAGTTTCTCTTAAGAGCCATGCACGGGCGGGTTGCTAAAATTCTTTTTGGACGGAGCTCAGTAAGTGCCTCGCCGCCTGGCGAGTAGAGGCACAACGCACGCACTCTCGAGGTCTCTTGGAGCATAGCCCCAGCGAGCTCTCTCGGCGAGCTCTCGAGAGAGGGCTCGCCGGGGCTATGCTCCGAGGGGTTCCCTGGGTGGCGGCTCCACTCGCCAGCCTCGCCGCCTCTCGCGGGTCGAGGCGGCTCCCGTGTGTACCTGTGTTAGTGCCAGTGGCGCCCGCTTTGCAGCTCGGCCTCCCTTCTCGCATGGTCGCAGGTCATCCGCGGACATCTTGCGGCACGCGGATCCGTCCGCTCACGGCGGCCGCGCAGAGGCGCTATCTCTCCAAGCGAGCCGGCGAGACTGCAGCACCACCAAACAGCGCGCTCGCGGCGAGCAGTGTCGACTCTGAGCTTGCAGCAGCGCAGCGGATCACGTGGATCGGCGCGGGCGTCAATCTCGGCGCCGCCGGCGCCAAAGCAGCGGCGGGCGTCGCGGCCAACTCGCCCGCGCTCGTTGCAGATGCCGCGCACTCGCTCTCGGACTTGCTGTCCGACGGTGTACCTTTGTACTACTCATCAAACAACATACACCCGGCGCCGCCCGCATACAGAGGGCAGCGGTCGCTCTTCCTCTAGGAGTCGCGCTTTGGGCTACCAAGGCTGCACGGCGGCCGCTGTCGCGCGACACGCCGTACGGGTCGGGCAAGTTCGAGGCGCTGGGAGCGGCCGCTTGCTCCGCGCTCGTCCTCGGCGCCGGCCTCTCTGTCGGCCTCCACTCCCTCTCCTGCCTCCTCCCGATCCTGCTGCCCCACGCGCCGGATGCGCTGCTCTCGTGGCTGCCTGACGCCGCCGCCGCCGGAGGTGCCGCTTCTGCCGCAACCGCCGCCGCACCCGCCGCCGCCGCACCCGCCGCCGTGCTTCCGGGGACGGACGCCGCGACGCTGGTGGCTGCGGCCGGCGCAGTGCCGCTGCCCTCCGCCGCTCACTTGCCTGCCGCGGAGCTAGTCGAGGCGGCGAGGCAGCTGGACGCGTCGGAGGCGTGGGGCGTGGCGCTGAGCGGCTCGCAGTGGGGCGCCGTGGCGGCCGCGGCGGGCGGCGTGCTCGCCAAGGAGGTGCTGTACCGAGAGACACACCGCATCGGCGCTCGGACAGCGCCGCCTCCCTCCCCGCCTGGTGGGCACTTCCCCCAGCGCTCGCGTGGGCCCTGTCCTGCCGTATAGGCATCGACACGCGCTCGCCGACCCTCATCGCAAACGCGTGGCACCACCGCTCCGACGCTCTCTCTTCGGTGGTGGCGGGCGTCGGCGTCGTCGGCGGCGCGATGGGCGCGACGGCGCTCGACCCGCTGGCTGGCTTGGTTGTGGCGGGGATGGTTGCGAGGGTGGGGGTGGGGATGGCGGCGGAGAACATCGGCGAGCTGACCGACACGGAGGCGATCGACAGCGAGACCCTCGCCGCCATCGAGTCGCTCGCGCTAGGCGCGCGGCCTCTCGGGGCGGCCTCCCGCCCGCCCTTCCCGCGCCACGCCCATTCCCCCTCCCGCGCCTCCACCCGCAGGGGACGACCTCGAGGCCCTCGGAGTCACGTCCCTGCGCGCGCGGAGGCTCGGCCCCGCCGGCCTGTCCGTCGAGCTGCGGCTGCAGGTGCCCTTCCACCTCTCCGTTTCGGCGGCGCAGCAAGCCGCCACCCGCGCGAAGCTGCGCGTGCTCAGCGGCTCCGCCTCGCCGTCGCCGTCGGAAGAGGCGCGGCAGCGCTGCCGGCAGAGGACGGTGGCACCTCGCGGTCTCTGAGCGCCTCCTCCCTCTTCAGGAGCGACTCCGCATCGCTGAGGTCTCCATCGCACTCGACGCCGAGCGGCCGGAGTACGGCAACGAAGGAGGGCGCGAGTACTCTGGCGACCTCGTCGTCGGGGGCCGCGTCAACCCGTCGCTCCACCAGCTCATGCGGCCGTCCCACGAGATCGTCGCCGACGTGCGAGCCGCCATCGTCGCCGGTGGATGCGCCGCCGCCCCCGCCGCCTCCTCCGCCGCCTCCGCGGGACTCGTGTGGGGCCTCTCGCACGCCAACGTGCACTGGCGGACTGTGCGGCAGGGGGACGCGACCGACACAGGCGTCGGAGAGGGCGGGTGGGCGTTGCTGCACGAGCCCGAGCTTCGGGCGCTTGCGCGAACCAGGCGCTCCGGCAGCGGCGGCGGCGAGGGAGGGGGAGGCGGCGGTGGCGGCGGCAGCGGAAGCGGAGGCCACGCCCAAGGCGAGAGGGGCGGCGACAGCGGCAGTTTTGGGAGTGGCGGCGGCGCCGGCCGCTTTGTCGGCGACGGGGCGGTGGTGGAGGCGAGTTTGATCATCGATCCGGACGCGACGGTGCGCGAGGCGCACCGGCACGCGGTGCGCGTGCGCCACGCAGTCTTGTCTGCGGTGCCGGATGTGGCGGAGGTCCTCGACTGGCACCATTCGAGCCGTTGCGAGAGGACTGCTTGTCAGTGACTCTTCTGCACGTAGGTCGACCTGCACCTCGAGCTCTTCGAGCGGGACGGCACGCACGTCAGGTCGCCCGCTGACTTGCCTGCCAGCGCGCGTTTGCCGCCACTCGCCGAGGCCGAGGCGAGGTTGCGAGGGAAGCGAGTGGCCGCCAAGTTGCGCCGCACCACGGCGCTGGGTGGAGCGCAGCTAGACACATTTCCGTGCGACGACTCGGCCAGTTGCGGCGTTGCCTCGAGATAAGCGCGGCGATAGCAGTAAGCCGAGGGAGAAATTGGAGAGATTTTCGTGAGACGTACACGCTCTGGGGGGCGGGGAGAAAAGGTCCCCTGTTCCCGCGCGGCGCGCGCCATCCCGCGAGATCGCACACTACACTGTCTCCCTCCGCTCTGTCGCACTGATCACTACTGACTACTGTGTCGTAAAACGAAAACAGTGCTCGGTTTTCAGCAAAACACACTCTAGTATTGTCTAAATAATTTAAGTCCATTGAACCCCCAACGCCAACCTTCCTGAATGAACCTGAAGAAGGGGTTAATGAACAATAATGGGTATAACGCAATTCGCCAGTATAATTCAGCAGTAACCAGTATAAGACCAGCACGGCGGCGGTTAGGGCCCCATCACGGCGGCACGGGGTCGAGGCTCATTCCGCGAGCCTAGCGACCAGCATGCGCCTCAGCCGCCGCCTCCGTTATTGTTGTTGCCGTCGAGCACAACCTTACAGGGGCAGGTGTGACCGCAGCAGTACGTGTTGCACAGGGTGATGTGGAGCTTGGAGCCCTCGCAGTAGCACATCCCGTTGTCGTTCTCGAAGAACATGTAGTCGGTGAGGATGAGCGAGGCCATCATCGTCGCCTTTTGCTGCGGCGACAGGTTGTGCCCCGGCTTGAAGGCCATGGTGAAGATGTCGCTGTCGGTGAACATCTCCTTTGCGAAGGAGCCGCAGTCGCGTGGCCGCTGCTTGGTGATGACGGCCAGGTCGCCCAGCTGCAGCTTTGCGTTCTCCGTCTCGCGCCCCATCGTCGAGACGAGGAACTCGGATGAGAAGCACAGCTCGGAGCAGCCGCCCCAGCAGCACGGCCCCTCAACTTTGGCGAGCGGCTCGAAGCCCTCGGCGCCTCCGGGCCGGTCGCGGTGCATCAAGTTGACGGTCGGCACGAAGAATCCGCCGCAGGAGGGCTGCGTCGCGTAGCCGACGGTGTGCTCGAGCGGCGCGAACGTCGTCCCGGTCGGCACCTGCGCGTCGCCGGCATGCACCCAGAGGCCGTCCTTGCAGTCGTCGGTGCAGATGAAGCAGCCGAGGCAGGGTTTGGCGCAGCAGCCGACGCGGTCCGCGGTGAAGGCAGTCGGGAGCGTCTCAATCTCCCCGCGCGTCTTCCACACGCGCTGCGTCGAGTTGACCAGCTTGAAGCGCGCCTGCAGCGAGTGGTACGGCGCGCAGCAGCAGCGCTCACAATCGTCCGACTGCTCCTGCACGATGAAGAGGTGGTTCCCGTGGGCGTCGAAAACGTCATACGTGTTGGACTGCTCGAAACAACCCTGCGACAGCGCCTCCCAGAACTTGACCCGCTGCCGGATCGTGAAGTCGTCGACGGTCGCAAGGATGCCCGCCGTCGCGCTGTCGATGAGCTTCACCTTGTCACCCGCCGTGTTCGTGTACGCCTCCTTGGCGGCGTCTGGGGTGATGGCGACGCCCGCCACGACCGGCATCGGAGGGCCCACCGCTTGCATGGGCGCCACCGGCGCGCCCATCACTGGTGTCGGCGCCACCTGCGGAGGCGCCTGAACGTTGATCGTCATGCCGGGGCCATAGCCAGCCGGGACAGGGACGCTCATGAGCTGACCACCAACATTAACCTGGAACTGTTGGCCCGCGGAAACACCGTCGGGGATCTGGACAGCGTACATGGCTTAAAGGGGCGGAGAGGAGCTCTAAGGGAGGGCGCCTGGGTCTAAATTTAGTGCGGTGTGAAGTGTTTATCTACTGCATCTTTAGCGCACTTTAGCGCAAATTTAGCGCGAATTTAGCGCAACTTTAGTGCAAATTTAGCGCAAATTTAGCGCAAATTTAGTGCGACTTTACATCCAGATTTAGCGAGGTTTAGTGCGTCTTTAGTCCAGCCGCGCAGTAGGATCCAGCCGCAGCCCCTCGCTGGGCCTCCCTCCCCCTGTCCCCCTGCAGTCCCCTGCCCACTCGCAAAAGTTCCCCGTCCCGTCCCCAACCGAACGAAGAAAACCCGGTGTATTTGCCATTGCACTTAGGAGGAGGTGCATGCCTGGGGCTGGATCCAACATGCTACGAGTACACGCGTATGTAAAGCTGCTTGCGGTGACTACATGGATCATGGCCATTTGGCCGTTTCTGTCATCGTGGTCTGGATCCTTCATCCTTTGGTTCAACATTGGTTTTGAAATTCCAACACCGACCCTCACCTCTACTCTATTACAGCTGGTGGTCACGGGCACAGCATGGGTTGTGCGGTCGGAGGTGGTGCTTGCGGTGGCGCATTCAACTGTGCTGGTCCTCCTCTCGGGAATCGGTGCTGTGCCTGTGCTCAGTCGGGAGATCTTGCTCTGGAGGGCGGCATATCTAGCCTCACTGGGAGCCTGCCTTTGGGTCATGAGGGCAGGGGCCAGGCATCTCCTGTGGTGCATTCTTGGCAGCCAAGGAGCAAAGCACGCGGCCCTGGCTAGCTGTGGTGTGGCCGGGAAGCCGTGCTAAAGGTGCGTGCCCGCACTAAAGATGCGGGACCCACACTAAATGTACTGCAGCTGCCCGCACCTAAAGTGAACTAAATGTGGCGCTAAATTGGAGATAAAACACACTAAATATGTGCTAAATATGTGCTAAATTTGCACTAAATTTGCACTAAATTTGCGTTAAAGTCGCACTATATACGCACTCGAACACGCACTAAATAGCGCACTAAACTATCACTAAAGTTCATTCACACGCACTAAATTTAGACGCAGGCGCCCTCCTCTAAGGTGGTGTGGAGCGCTAAGGAGGGCACGCAGGCTTTTCTTTTTAACAGTTCCGAACGAAAGGAAAGGCAGTTCACCCTAGGTAAAGTTCGGGGATTTCGGGTGATTTTTCTCGTGCGACACGGTGCTGGATTCCAACTTTTTGCGGGGTAAGGTATGGTAGGGTCGGCGCCAAAAGGGTGGGGGGGTATGGTCCTGGCCGCCGGAGGCGGCCTGCTCGACGGGTGGGGGGGTATGGTCAATCGCTGGAGCGGCCACGTTACAACAGGGTTCGAACCCAGTACACAGCCGCCGTACACAGCCGCGGACACGATGCCGACTCATCTCGGACGCGGACACGGACCACAACGTCTTCAACGAGTGGGGCATGTACTACAAGAGCCCCCCAAACTCGGGCCAGCCGCGCAACCCCTTCGAGATGGCGCGCGCGCGCGCGCCCACGGTGGCCGCGCCGCCGCCGCCGCCGGCGGAGGCGACGGCGGCGGAGGCGGTGGAGGTGGAGGCGGAGGCGGCGGAGACGCCGGAGGTGACCATGGCGGAGGCGGAGGTGCCGCCAGCGGAGGCGGCGAAGGCGGAGGCCGTTCCAGCGGAGGTGACCATGGCGGAAGCGGCGCCGGCGGAGACCGCGCCCGCGCCCGCGCCCGAGGTGACCATGGCGGAAGCGGCGCCGGTGAAAACCGGGCCCGCGCCCGCGCCCGGCGCCGCACCGGCCGCGCCCGCGCCTGCGCCCGCGCCTGCGCCGGCACGCAAGGCCATGGCGGCCTTTGCGGACATGCTCTGAGGGGTGAGCACGATTGCCGGCGGGTCACCTCGCGCAGACTGCATCGCGCGAACACGTGCCGCACGACCGGACGGCCTAACACGACGGTTACTGTACGCGCTCGTGTGGTGGGGTGGGGGGTGGGGGGGTATGGTCCTGCTGGCCAGAGGCGACGTCCTGTGCGGGTGGGGGGGTATGGTCGCGGCGCCAGGGCGCCGACGCTACCATACCATACCCCGCAAAAAGTCCGAACCCTGGTGCTTCTCACGCGTCGGCTCGCGACGATCGCATTTGCCACGCGTCTCCTACCCACGCAGCCGTCGATTGCGTCCGTCTCCTACGTCTCCACCTCCTCAGGCCTTCTCTACTTTGACTCTGCCATTGTGTTCGGCGCGACCGGCTTCGATGACCAGCCATGCCGCGGCGATTGCCTGGAACGCGCGTGGGCGCTCAACCCCGAGCTCGTGTCACCTGCGTCCTCGACGGCCGTGAGCAATCCCGTCGGCACGCAGGTGCAGATCGAGTACAGAGTCCGGCGCCGCTACTTCAACGGAGAGATCGCCGCCCTCTCGGATGGCATCGGCAACGGCGGGGCGATCCTCTTCACGGTCGGCGACGGCACCACCAACGCGGCCGTCGATGAGCTGGTACGGACCTTACCACCAAATGTCGTGCGGAGAGCCATCGTGCCGGCCACATTTGACTTAGACCGGGGAACTCGCGCCGAGTACCCGCGCCCTGAGCCAGCCGGGACCACCTACCTCGAGATGACGCTGCGGAAGCTGAGCGCCACCGGGCCGATGGGCGTGTGCCCCGGAGGGGACGAGCGTTACAACAAGGTGGTGTCCTCTGTGTGCGGTAGTTGACGTATCAAGGTGCCGTCGGGGTAGCCGCTAGCCCAGCTGGGAGCCCTCTCCTCGGGGTGCTTGACCTTGAGCTTGTGGTCATGACTCATGAGTCATGTGACTTGTGTTGCGTGTTATCTGTTAACCCGCGTCGCTCTTAGATGTGCCGTATTTGGTATTTTACCTAATATCTCTTACAGACGCGTGTTCGATCTGTGTGTTCCTCCCGAAAAAAAGTCTCTCAGATGTCCGCTCGACCACGGGGGACCGGGAAAAACTCGGACCCACGAAGACAAGGAGCGCGCGCCAATGGCCGCCTCCGTGACACTCCCACCTCCTGGGCCGGCGCGGGAGTTTTACTGCCGAGTTTCTCCCGGCCGGCCGCCTCCTGACACGCCCACTGACCGAGCCCATCGAAAAAAATTCGGCGCGCCGCACTGCTCTGACCCCTGCTCGCCCCTGCTCGCCCCTGCTCGCCACTGTCGCCTCGGTTGCCGAGGCTGCCGCGCACCCGCGCGCTACGCGACTACGAACTGCACCAGCTGGGCTCGAACCAACGACCAAAACGTCCCCGACCCGAACGCTGCACCAACTAGGCCACACCGCAGGCTCGATATGCAATACGCACAAAACTGGCCGCTCATAAAGCACTACTCATTTGCCGAGGCCACGCGGCGCCCCTCCACAGCCAGCCTACCCTCCTATCGCGCCACTCGAAGCCCCGCGGCCGCCTCTCGCCTACCGCGCTGCCCTCGCCTGCCACCGCACCGCCCGCGCTCCAGCCTAACCAGCTCTGCATCTCGCAACACACACTTGACAGGGACAGACCAGGCGCAGGAAAAGGGAGCGGGGCCCGAATCCAAGGGACCACCCCGTCGGGCGGAGGAGCTGTGAACTCAGGTCCAGCAGGAAGGCTGCTGGCTCCTGACTCATCCCCCAAATCCCCCACACCTTGGCGGCCTGAAACCTTACCATTCCGACACCTCACACACACCCCTCCCCTAGGGCTAAGCAGTGCGCGAGCCCACCCGACTTCAGGCGAGACGTTGACCACTCCTTTGGAACAGTTCTGTCAGTGGCTGCACTAGACGCCCACAGAGGCGCGCGGCGCGGGCAGATGACTAGGGGAGAAAAAGCGGAGAACCTAGCTCGCTGGGAGATGTGCGCAACCTAAAGACGGGAATAGGGGAGAAGTGTCAGTGTGAGGGGAGGGCGTAGGCTGGCGTTTTTGCCTTTGAAAACTGAACAGTTTTTCTTGACCACGGGGGACCGAGTACACCGCGGCGCGCGGGCGCGCATGGGGATGGGGCGATTCTGCGTGGCGGGCTCCTTGCCTCGCTGTCGCCCGAGGGACGCTGCGCTCGCGTCGCTAGCGCAGCTCACGCGGCCGCCTTCTTGGTGGCGGTCATCATGCCGTACCGCATCAGCCCGTTGGTGAAGGCGCGGTGCATGACCTCGAGGCACCACGAATCGCGGAGCACCTGGCGCGACGCAGGGGCCGGGCGGTGTGCGAGGGAAAGGGTCGACGCCTCGAGAGCGCGGCACCTTGTACCACAGGCGAGGCCGCCGGAAGACAGGCCACGGGTCCCACACCCCCGCCCAGATGGAGTGGCGCCTACTCGCACGCGGCACGCCCTCGCGCAATCGTGTCACGCTCCGGGGGCAGGGCCGGCGCGCCACGCGGGGATGGTCTGCTTCGCCCAGTCGTCGGTGACGACCTGGTCGAGCACGCCTGCGAGGGAGGCTAGGAAGTGTCTAGGAAGTGTCTAGGAAGTGTCTAGGAAGTGTCGAGCACACTCCTAGGAAGGGAGGCGCCGTGGGCGCGTCGTGGCCACCCTCCCGAGCCGCGCCGGTGCGAGGGCTGGTGCGGCAAGTCGCCGGTCCTCTCCATGCTGCGGCCGCACTCTCCCGGGTCCTCTCGGGTCCTCTCGGAGCATCTCGTCTAATCTCGCCGGTCCTCTCCATGATGCGGCCGTACTCCTCAATCGAGATGAAGTACGGGTGCGACCACTCGCCGTACAAGTAGTCGAGGGTCGCGCGCTCCTTGGCGCTGAAGGGCGGCGTCGCCTACTCTCGCACGTGAGCCAAGACGCGTCCAAGCCGCCGGCCGAGGCGGCTCTGCCCTCTCCGCCGCAGCGAGGGTGCGTCGCCTCTCGCTCGCACCACGTGGCTATGACGATCCTGCCGCCCGGCTTGAGGACGCGGCTCATCTCTTGCACGTACCGCTCCTTGTCCGGCATGTGCTCGCCTGGAGGGGAAGGAGGGGCGGGAGAGGGTCGGAGGGAGGGAGGGTGGCGGCGCGTGGGCTGGCCAGGCGGCGCTGCTCGCCCGAATGGCCCATATCTCCGCATATCTCCGCATATCTCCGCATATCTCCGCATATCTCCCCATATCTCGAGCTCACCCGACTCGCAGGCCCACACGAGGTCGAACGAGTTGTCGGCGAAGGTCATGTTGAGCGCGTCCACCTGAGACGCGCACACAGATATGCAGAGCTCGCCCAAGCTCGCCCAAGCTCGCCCGAAGGCGCAGAGCCCGAGCACTCGGGGTGTGTGTGTGTGTGTGTGTGTGTGTGTGTGTGTGTGTGTGTGTGTGTGTGTGTGTGTGTGTGTGTGTGTGTGTGCATCCACAGACGGACTGCGCGGCCCACGAGGCCCGACGAGCTGGCTTGCGTCTGGCGCCGCTCTCCTCTCGGGCTGCGTCTCACCAGCTCGAACTTCGCGTTGCCGATGCCTCGCTCCGTCGCGAGCTGTTCTGCGCGGCGGCGCTGCTCAGGCGAGATTGTGATGCCTGTTTATCACAAAACACAAATCAAGATGAAACATGCATCATTTCGCTGCTCTGGCGAGATGGTGATGCCAGTCACGTCGGCCGAGGGGAACTTCTTGGCGATGTAGCGGCTAGTGCCGCCGATCCCGCAGCCGACGTCGAGCACCTTGCTCGGCGCCTACGCGGATGGGTCGAGAGGGCGGCTCGAGGACGGCGCAAGGACAAGTGTCCCCGCAAAGAAGGCGGCCGGCGCGAGCGGCGGCGCGCCTCCGTCTGAGAGAAGTCGAGCATGCGGTCGATGAAGTCGTACTTCGCCTCGACAAAGTCCTTGCCGCCGTACAGGGGCGCCTTACGCTGCCCCTCCTCGTAGTAGCCCAGGTGGATGTGCTCGCCCCAGTAGTACTCGAGGATGCCCTCCGACGTCCACGCATCGTACTCCTCTCCGACGGAGTTTATTCCGCCCGCCTCGCGCTCGCCGTCGCGGTAGGAGCGCGAGGGCGTATTGAACACCCGCAGCACCCACGCGAAGATCGTAGCGACCAGCGCCGTTGCAGCAGCACCAATGGCGAGCGGCCTCGACGCGAGCGCTGTCGCTGGGGCTGCGAGGACCGCCGCCGCCGACGCGTGCGGCGCGGCGGCGCGGCGTGGGCTGCGGGGCGGCGGCAGGCGCTGAGGCCGGACACCAGCGAGTGCGCTGAAGCCCGCAGCGGGGGCTGCGAGCGCGAGCAGCAGCGAGACGACCCGCATATATTGAGCGCGATTTCTCTGAAAGATCTCCTCGGAAAGAAGAACTCGGAAAGGCGCTCCATCGACTTTCTTGTTTTTTGTTGCAGTCCCTCCCGTGCACCGCTGGGTGCAGTGGTCTGCGCAGAGCGCCAGCTTGACGTGGAGCTCGCCTGAGGAAGCGGCAGGGAATGCTCGATCACGCGCGGCCGGCGGCGGGCTTAAGGAAGAGAGAGCGGGCTTCAGGGTCTAAATAAAGAGACGGCGTGTCGCGGGCGTGTCGTGGGCGTGTCGTGGTGTGTGGGTTCGGGTAGCTGCATCTCGGCTGTTACGTGGGAAGCCCCGCGCATAGGACAACAACGTCTGTCCCACACACGGACACGCACAGTCCACAGACGCGCACATTTTACATCAATCATCATGGTTTCATGCTCGGGCACCCCCCCACAGTGCACAGAGCACAGTGTAGTCGTGGTGTGAGCACACAAGTACTAGCAGAGTGCACACCTGCCTTGGCGGGTGAGGGTCGTAAGAATCAAAGCCTCTTGGTGCCAAACTTCGTCCTTTCGAGATGTTCATTAATAAAGTACTAGTTACACACAGGTCATAAACTCATATAGCAAGTGCATGTCCCTCACGCGGACACCTCCGCGCCCGCCCCCTTCTTCTCCGCCTGTCCCTCCGCACCGCTGCCCGCCGCCCCTCCCTGCTCCTTGAGCGCGGCCTCCAGCCTGCGCACCTTCGCGCGCTCCGCCTCAAGCGCCTTCCTCTCGCCCTCGACCTGCACCGCCCACTCCTCCTGCTGCTTCTTGAGCGCCGCGTGGTGCTCGGCGCGCAGCTTGCGCTCGAGCTCGCTCTGCCACGCCTCGCGGTCGGCGCGCTCTCTGGCCTTGCTGTCGCGATCCGCCACGCCGCTCCTCGCCTCCTTCAGCCGCCGCTCCAGGCCCTGCACGAGGTCGCGCAGCTGGTCATTATCATCCATCCAGCGGCCGAGCTCCTGCACGCGTCAGGGACGTGTCAAGGACGTGTCGCGCGGCCGGCCGTTCCCATTCGCCGCCCAGGCTCCTCATCGAGCGCCGCCCCCTGGCTCTGGATCGCCCTCTGCCGCTGCCGCAGCGCCGCCTTCTCCTCGTCGTGCTGCTGCTGCAGTGCGGCCATCGCCCCCTCCTTCTCCTGCCGCGCAAACTCGAGCAGCGACTGCAGCCGGCGCACCTCGCCAAAGTAGGTGCGCGCCTGCACCTGCAGCTCGCGCAGCCGCGTGCTCTTGCTCGAGTGGGCCTACTCCCGCCGTGCGGCGTGAGCAGCCGTGCTCACCGGGGCGTCTGCTCTCTTGTGCTCGAGCTCTGCCAGCTCGGCCAGCTCCGCCTCTTTGCCCTGGAGCTGCCGCCGTAGCTCGCGCACCTGCCCTTTCAGATTACGCAGCAGGTGCGCGTCCGCGCGGGGCAGGCCCGCCCCAATGGCAGCGACGCTCCCACTCGACTCAAAGAGGGCCGCCGCCGCAGGGTGCGCGTCCTCGGCGCTCCGCTCTGCGCGGCGGAGCTCCGCCTCGCTCCGCGCCGCCGCTGCTCTGAGCTGTCTGTTGTCTCGCTCGGCCTGTGCGAGCGCCCGTCTCGTCTGCTCCACCTGCTCGGCGAGCTCCTCCACTCCTCGCCGTGTCGAGCCAACCGGCTGCCCTCGGATGCGGCCTCCCGCAGCCGCCCCGCGATGTGCCGCGGCTTGGAGGCCCTTGGCCGGCGACCGCGGATGCGAGGCCGAGGCAGGCCTTCGACGCATCGCAACTGCAACGCTGGCAGTGCCGGTGGCCGTCCGCCGTGTCGCCGCGGGACGGGCGCCTGCGATGACTGCAGGCACATCGGTTATCCTCAATGGTGGCCTTGGGTCGGCGCCGGTGCGAGCAGCGCCGGTTCCCGGCGTACCAGCGTCGCCAATAAGCGAGGTCGGGTGGTCTTGGGTCGCCCCGAGAGCCTCACGCCTCCGCCGCTGCCGGTCCGCGATGACGTCCTCCGGACTCTCTTCTGCGTGCGGATCCAACCGCTCGGTCCCGCTGGCCCGCTCTGACTGCGGCTCGTCATCATCAGAGATGGGCTGCTCGTGAACCGCGGGCCCATGCTGCTCGGACGCGGCGGGTGGCTCCTGCTCTGGTGGGGCTTGGGTGTCGCTAGAACTCATTCTAGAAAGGTACGGAAGGGCAGACGCGTCAACGCGCGACGTGACTCCATAATCGAGTAACGCGAAACCCCCAACTTTTACCTGACACGAAACGAAAGAGGGGCCCGGCTCGGACTGGACACCAACGCGGTATGGGTGGACGCGAGACAGATGACGACGACACGCTCGAGCGACACACAGACACAAAAAGGCTCAATTGGTGAGCATACAGCAGAAAAGAATTTAACAGCCGAAAAGAATTTAACAGCGCGGAAAAAGAATTTAACATCTTACGCCGGTTTACAACAAACCGCCGGCGTCCCTTCATGTGCGCCACAAGCACGCGCCGGCACGACGACATGAACTCACGTAGTACGACAACAGGTGGGGACAGGGGCAAAGGCACAGGAAGGGCCAAGACACCAGCAAAGAAGGAGGGAGCAAGCAGGGCTAGGAACACACAGACACGGCAGGGAGAGAGAATCGGAGAGAGAGAAAAGAGAAAGCAGAGAGGGCTAGAGTGTCCCGTCAGGGCGGGAAGAAGCAAGCAAATTCCAGATAAGCACTTGCCGCGCAGCGAGTGCCTCCGTGCAAAAACGATGGCAGAATCCAACGATGCCCGCAGGGGGGGGCGATCATCCCGAGCCCGATGCTCAATAATACGGATGAGAGCGCCCGCTCACCTGGCGGACAGGGCGCGCCGCCCCCGGCGCGCCCGGCGCGCGCTCGCAAGGCAAGTAGAGGGCTCGCCGCCGCCTCACTCAGGCCATCGGCGTGACGGTGCTGCCCTCTGAGAGCCAGCTGGGCCACTCGTCCAGCTTGAGCGACCCCTCGGCCGGATCGACCCGCGCTAGGTCGAACTCGCACGACTGCAGCATGCCCGGCCCCGGGTGATGGTGGGCGTTAGGCTCCTCCCACGTCGGCGGGGCGAGCCCCCCCCATCCGTCGGCGGTGCCCCATCCGGCCGGCGCAGCCTGCGCCTCGGCCATCGGAAGCTGGCTCTTGTCGCCGTTGAAGGGGACGGGCGCCGCCGTAACGCGGGGCAGCCCCTGTCGGCTCGGCCCATCCATCACCCCAGTCGGGCTGCCGGTGCCGTGCGACATCATCTCCTCTGACGACATCGAGTCCGGCGACGGCGTGCGCATGACTTGGCTTGTCGCCACAGCAACGGGGAGAGCGCTCGACGGCTGCGTCACGACAACGGGGACTGGCCTCGACTGGTGAGGCATCGGGGGATGCATCGGCGCCGGTGCCGGCGGCGGCATCGGCGCTGGCGGCGTCGGCAGCGGCGTCGGCAGTTCCGCCGCATCGTCCTCATGCTTGGTGAGGTTGATGCAGCGGCGGACGACGCAGGCTTGCTTCTTGACGCCCTTGCCGCCGAAGCGCGGCTTGTCGGCGCAATTCTGGCAGGTGCCGCAGTCGATCGCCTTGCACGGGCCGCACTTGCCGCACCGCTGCAGTCGCGCTGCCTGTCTGCGCCCCTCGCCCCGCGGCGAGAGGCTGATGACAGTCGGCTTGAGGCGTGCATTCTGCTGCAGCGATTCCATCTCTCCAGGCAGGAGGAGGCCATGCAGCTCGGCGAGGTCGGGCTGGTGGTGGTGGGGGGGGAGGGGGGGCAGCGTCAGTAGAGGGAAGTGCCACGGGAGCTGATGTGGCGGCCGCGGCGAAGGGCGCTGTCGCGCGGCGACGGACTTAGTGGGAGAGGGTGAGCCGGCGCAGGGCGGCAGCTGTGCCACGCCCCCCCCCCCTGTGAACCAGTGAGCGCCGCACCTCGGACTCGAAGGCGCCCATACACTCGTCTGCGAGGTGCTCGTCGAAGTCGAACGAGGCCAGCGGGAAGGTTCCGTCCGGCATCAGCCCGTTCGATATCGCCTGAGCCACCTTGAGCTTCTTGCGCGGCGACTCGAGCAGCTTGTCCTCCGAATGGCCGCGCGCCAGAATCTGCACGCAGCGCCTTCTGACGCAAGCCTGCTTCTTGACGCCTGCGGCGGGGGGGCGCAGACGGTTCGCTGCTCAGCATTTGATTGAGCCCGGCAGCGGTGGTATTGGGACGGGCGGCGCCTGGGCCATGGAACTTTGGCTTGTCTAGGCAATTGACGCAGGCGCCGCAGTCCTTGGCGTTGCACCCCTCGCAGGAGCCGCAGCGCGCAAGGCGCTTGTTTTCCACCTTTGCTCGGTCCTGCACCAGCATACCAACCTCCTCCCCAAGCGTCCTGGCCCGCAGCGTAGAGTATCCCAGATCCCCACGATGCCAACGCCCTGACGCCAGAGACACAGAGCCAGGCTTAGCCAGAGGGCTGGCGCGAAATGCGCGGATTGGGAGGCCGCGAAGGAGGGAGGCGCGGCAGAGGGGGGGGCAGAGGACGAGACGCGCGCGCGCCGCCATGCCAGTGGGGGCGCGCGCGGACGGGCAGGCTGTGCTCACCCTATGATGGACTTCCTGCCTCTGTATGCCGCACAAGTTGCTCCAGCAAGACTTTACGCTTTTGCGGTTTCGAGAGTAGGCAGGCAGGCGCTAGTACACAGCCGTCTCAGACCCGGCTTGATTGCTGTGGATTCCTTACGATTCCCATTTTCATTGGAAATCATGCGTTTTTAAAGGAACGGGGAATGCCGGCTTTATTATTTTTAGCCGTGAAAAGCCCGGCCCGACCCTTTTCTTGATTGGGGGGGCTTGCTCGGGGCTTTGTTGGGGGGGGCGGGTGAGGCAAACAAGTGTATGTTTCCTGTCGCCGTGCACTTTCGCGGCCGTCTTCCTAGTTCCTTTGTGCTTTGACGTCCGTCCGCTGCCACAGGTTTCACAACAGGGTTTTAAGGAGAGGAGTGTGGTGCTAGCCGTCGCCCACCCACCCTTGGGCGTCTCCCTCGCTAGCCCT